GGCCCAGCCACTTTCATTTTCCCAACCACTCAAGAGGAGTCTTCCCTTTGGCCCTTCCTCTCGGCCGCTGACGTTTTGATCTTTGCCTTATTAAACCTCTGGAATACAGTGACATTTTTGAAATCCAGCCGTTGGAAGCTTCAGGCCACTCCCTCTTCACCCATCCCTGCCCCACCCCACCACACCCTACTCAGCTCCACCCCCTTTTCTAAAAAGGCCTTGGGGCGCCTGGAAGTTTTGGCCCTTCTAGCTTCCCAAGAGTTTGGTTTTCATCTTCCTGGTCTCTCATTCCTCTGTGAAGACCCAGGCCACAGAGCGGGAAAGGTGCATGGAGGTCGCTGAGAGACAGTGGCTTTGACTTCTCTTCCTTTACGTTACTTCTCCAAAGGCATGCTCTTCCCAGAACCCCCAATATATTCTGCGGTTGTTCTACCCTTCACTAGCCCCCAGGCACAGTGGGGTGGCAGATCACTTATCTTTTTATTGTTGTTTTCTTTTTATTTTTGCTATAGGGTGCATGCACTTGCCAAGGAGGAAGAGAGGGAAAGTGAGAAATTACTGGCGGGGGGTTGGGGAGGGGGGAGATGGCCACCCTGCAATCCCCTCTCCATTCACCTCTGGGGATTTGGGGCACAAATACACATGCCTAGTTGCTGGGTCCAGGACTCGAACCACGCAGTTGGCCATATAGGATCTAGCCGTCTCAACCTCTATGCCACCTGCTGGCTCTATCCTTCTTTTTTCTTAAATTTCTTTCTTTCTTCCATGGAGGAGGGGTCCCCCCAGCAGGGTCTTCACACCACAGCCCACCCCTAGGCTCCGCTGGCCTGGGTCCTGGGCGAGTCCAAGCTCATCATGCTTAGGGAGTTCCTGGGACACCGACCCAGGACCTTTCCCCTGTGAGGCCGGTTAGGTTACCACCCACCGCACCACCACCTCGCCCCACCCTGAATTTCTGCTTAAAGCGATTCGGTCCACAGATAGGAGGCAAGCTGGGGGGTGCCCCAGAGAATTCGTAGGTGTTCCAAACTAGTCCACTCAACTACCAGAGCCCCCAGTTCCTAGCAGATCCCAGAAAATGTCCATCTGAGAGCAGGATGAGTGGAATCCCTCAAGTCCTGCTCACTGGGCCATGCCAGCCTGTCTCCTCTGCCTCCTGCTGCAGCTGTCCAGGCCCGGGACACCAAGCGGGCGTGCACGTGGGGCGTGGGGCGGGCAATGTGTGTGCTTGTTATATTTAGCCACCTGTCCCTGTTCTCCCCCACTGATCCTGGCTAGGGAGGCCGGGCTTCCGGAAAGGGGGGAGGGGCGAGTTTGCACACCTGGATCCCAGGCTGAAGGGAGATGGGGTGGAGACAAAGGAGAGTTAGACTGGGGTGACTCTCCCCTTCTATGTCCACAGTAGGAGGAGCCAGGACTGGTTGCGTCCCTCTGTGTCAGCTGTGTGCAGAGGGAGGTGGAGGAGTAGGTAGAGTGAGGAGTGAGGGAGAGGAAGAAAAGCATCGTCCCAAATGCTCCCACCAAAGACTGGAGAGAAGGTGTTATCTGGATTAATGTTTAATTAGGGCTCAGAGTTCAGAGCCAGACTTAGGGGTGGGATGCAGAGCTGTCTGAGACCCTGTGGAAATCCTTGGCTTGGCCTGGGTACCTCAGCCACACCCAGGGGCTTGGGGCTCCATCTTGTTGGACGGAGTTATAGCCCCCAGCAGAATCCTTCCATACTCTGCTCTTTGCATATTTATTCTGGAGGCTGAGCGGTTGGGACACCTAAGGGTGGGGAGGATGGGAGGTTGAAAGCACCAGGGTCCAGTCTTGGTGCTTGGTGCGGGGCCCCACCCTAGGCCAGACAGCTGGGTGATGACTCAGATGCTGCCCCCCTCCTCCTACCCTGGTGGCTTTACAAGAGACAGCAGGAGACAGGGTGGAGATGGCAGATGTCTTAAAGGGAGGAATGGGGGCCTGAACGTCTGCATCCTGGGAACCCTTCACTGCCCTCTTCCATGGCACCCCTGGCTCTGGATGGGCAATAGTGCCCAAGAGATAAGAAAGCAGAGTTGAGCCCATAGTCATGGGCTTGCACTGCTGGAAGGTGCCAGAGTCTCTGCCTTCCCTGGAGGAACTGGTGGAGGAAGGCTGAGTCAGAAACGGGGAGATCTAAGGCCCACAAAGCAGAAGCGCGTCTTCCTCTGGACAAGGCTCTGGTGCTTGACGACTTCCTGGATTGCCCGCCTTACGCAGCGCCAGTGTGGACAGGCAGGAGCGCCAGGCCAGGTTTGCCCAAGCTCTGATCAGGACAAGAAAGCAAAGGCCACATCAGTACAGAGGGTTGTCCCATGCCACATGGCAAAGGGGTGGCAGGTCAGGACTTACACACAAGCCTTCTGACATCTAGTAGGGTGCTCTGACCAGGAAACTTCACTCTCCTAGCTTTGGAGACAGAGTGGAAGGTCTAGGGGGTAGGGTGACTGAGGCCCACCCCTGCATCCCAGAGACTCTGCTTTGGGGTCAGCGATGCCTTCATGCCCTGTTGTCCGGCCAGGGCCACTTAACACTCCATCAGTAGCCTTAGCTCCCGCCGGTACCTGGGAAGACCCAGCCAGGCCGTAGATCCAGAGCTGATCAGAGCTCTGAGAGGCTGGCGACTCCTGTCTTGGGACTTTCTTGGGACTCATCATGGGGATTGTCTTCCTGGATTGGAGGGAGCTTTGCCGTTAGGCAGAGACACTAAGTCAATAGTGACGGGGACTTCTGAGGATCCCTGGGCACTAGGCCTCCCTCGAGGCTACCACATGCTGTTACCTCTCCTGACACCCTCCACCCTCAGGTCTACATCTAATGCACAGGGAGAGGAGGAAGTGCAGAGAAACAAAAGAGAATCCCCCCTCGCTTGCCTTCCCAGTCATTGATGCCCTCGGTTGCACTTCCCCAGCCTCCAGAAGTCAGAGACTTACGGGACCAGTAGATTGCATAGTGGTTATGTCTCTGGACTCCCACTTAGTCAATCACAGTTTGAGCCCCGAATCTGATGGCTTAAAACTCAGGCCAAGCGGGAACCAGCAGTTAGCATAATGGCTATGTCGCTGGACTCCTACGTAGTCGACCACGGTTCCTGTCCCGGACCCGGTGGCTTAAAACTCACGCCGGGCGCATGTGCATGCATGCCCAAGATCCCCAGAGGAGAATGGAGGAGAAGGGATTGCAGCGTGACCATCCTCTCTGGGGGGTGATTTCTCGCTTTCTGTCTCTATGTCTCTCTCTGTCTGTCTGGCGAGCGCACGCGCCCTATAGCAAAAAAAAAAAACTCTCTCAAAAAAAAACTCACGCCAAGCGTGAGTGTGCATGTGCCCAAGATCCTG